TTTTTTGTCTTTTTCCGTGTCCGGCAACGGATCGCAACCCTCAGTGTTGCCCCCGGACCAGGCACCGGCAACGGGATCGCAACCCTCGGTGTTGCTCCCGCGCCTTGCTCAGCCAGTGAGCGGGAACTGGTCTGTATGTGGGATCCAAACCCTTGGGCGGGAGCGCCGCCGCGCTTCCCAAGCGGCGCACTTATCCACTGCGCCACCGGGCCGGCCCCACCGTGTTATTTTTTAAACTAAGGCATTGGTAAGGACTTGGAGCAAAATGCAGCTGAGGCTAGAACCTTGTGGAAAGCTGTGTGCCATCACCTGCCACAGGCTGCAGCTGTGTGGAGATGACCTCATTAGGCACTGTCAACTGAAGATAGACTTTCCTAAGTGATTTTTTGATATTCATGTGTACTTATATTTCCCAGGCCACCATCTTATCTACTTAAATTAATTACTGAGAGACAGGTGTGGAATTATCTTTTTTATTTTAATTTTTGCTTTAAGTATTTTGAAGCTCTGTAATTACACACATACACATTTATGATTGTAATGTCTTCCTGAAGAATTTACCCTTTCATCATTAATGAAATACCCTTTTCTCTCCTGTAGTGTTCTTTGTCTCGATATCTACTTTCTTTTTTCTTAACATAGTCACTCCAACCGTCATGGTCCTTTTGTTTGTGTGGCGTACCTTTTTAATCCATTCTGCTTTTAATCTCTTGAAAGTAAAGTGATTTTCATTTGGATGGTATTTAGTTGGGAATTTTTTATTTATTTATTTATTTTTGTCTTTTTCCGTGTCTGGCAACGGATCGCAACCCTCAGTGTCGCCCCCGTACCGGACCGGGACCGGCAACGGGATCGCAACCCTCGGTGCCGCTCCCGCGCCTCGCTCAGCCAGTGAGCGGGAACCGGTCTGTATGTGGGATCCGAACCCTTGGCGGGAGTGCCGCCGCGCTTCCCAAGCGGCGCACTGTAGCAGTGCGCCACCGGGCCGGCCCAGTTAGTTGGGAATTTTTTAACCTGTTCTGACAATCTCTGCCTTTTAATTGGAGTGGTAAGGTTGTTAATAATTATTGATATGATTGGATTTAGGTTTACCATTACTGTTAGTTTTTTATGTGTCCCATTTTTTTCTTTTTGAAATATAATTGATGATACATATTTGTGGTGTACAGAGTTGAATATCAATACCTGTGTACAGTATGTGATGATCAAATCAGGATAGTTAGCATATTCATTACAAGATGTAATCATTCTTTGTGTCCGTTAACCAATGTTGTTCTTTAAAAAAATTTGTTCCTCTGTTCTTTTTTCTTGCCTTTTGGATTATTTGAATATTTTTTGAATTGGTTTTAATGTGTTGGTTGACTTTTAAGTTATACTTTGAATTATGTTTTTAATGGTTTCTCTAGGGATTAGAATACACATTCTTTAAGGTGTTCTTAGAGTTAATGTCGTGCCATTCCACAAAAGCCAGGAGGCTTTCTGATTGTGTAGGTGCATTTACACCTCCTGCTTGTCTCTGCTGCAGTTTTCACAGGTGTCACATCTGCCTGTGTTGTGAACCGCACAGTACAGCATTGTAAGACTTGCTTAGAAAAGTCATACGCATTTGAAAAAGTTAAGAGGGGAGACAGTTTCATGCCCACCATTTCTGTCGCTCTTCATTCCTTCCTGAAGGTGTGAATTTATGTGGGTCTCATTTCCCTTCATTCAGCCTAAAGAATTTCCTTTAGCATGTCTTGTGCAGGTCTGCTGCACAAGTTTTACTTGAAAAGGTCTTTATTTCATCTTCATTCTTGAAGAATATTTTTGCTGCATGAAAAAGTCTGAGGTGGCAGGCTTTTTTCATTCAGGATTTAAAGATGTTTGGTAAAACCTTTGCTAATTTTATTATCGATATCATCTTGGGGTTGGTCTTCATTGATTGCATTTCCTCTTTACCAGGGGTCATATTTTCCTGTCTGTTGCATATCAATTAATTTTAGATTGTGTCCTGGACATTGTGAATGACGTATTGTGGAGATTCTGGATTCTTTCGTATTCCTCTGAAAAGTAAGGATTTTTTGTTTCAGCAGGCAGTTAACTTGGATGTATTTAGATTTCATACTCCATCTCCTCCATGGTGGACTGCAATATAATGTTAGCTCAGGTCTTGTAGCTTTAGCAGGCCTGCTTATAGAGACTGTCCAGCATATGTATGGATCAGGGTCTGCCTGAGATGCAGGCAAGATTTATTCACAGATGTTGCAGCTCTCCCTCTCTGGCTCTCCCCCCAAGGGCTTTCCCTCTCGCTTTCCAGTTTTTCTGGGTCAAAAGAGTAAGGTTATGGGATTTCTATGTGTGTGGTCCAGTCAGATCCTACTCTTAGCCTAAAAACCTAAAAAAGGGAGAATTGACCCACTCTTCTGAGCTTTGAGCCCTCTCCAAAGTCCGCCTGCTCAGGATTTATAGGCATCATCTCTGGGAGGGCTGGTCTGATTAGAGCTGCTCAATCTCACCAGAAGTAGCACCCTAAACTTTACTTTTAGGAAAGAGTTGAGGTCTGTCTCCCGTACCTCTGGTTTTGTTTGCTTTGTCTCTTGTTGACGGTGTTCATCGACCTGCTTTCTTCCTTTTAGGAAATGAGGCACTTGCCTGTCTTCAGCTTTGCTGTCTATCTCCCTCTTCACCGGGCACCTTTACAATTACCCATTTTAGTTTGTCAGCCTCTTACGTGCCTCTGTATCCTGGAGTGCATGTCGTACTGATCTGGAGATTTGAACTCATGATACCATTTGCTTTTCTCACCATCTGAGACCCTCACTTGCCCATGATGGTTCCACGCCTCTATTGCAGCTGCCACCCCCAACAGAGCTGGGCATGTCTAAGTTTCCCTATGGGGAGCTCAGTCAGACAGAGAAGGCCTCAAGCCTCTCTTTGCTCCAGTGTGTGTGTGTTCAGTTGTTAGTTTTTGTCCAGGCCCACCAGCTCCAGAGATGAGGAACAATCTGTTCTAGGTTCCCGCGTGTGGAAAGCATTTCATTTAAGCAAGTAATTTAAAACTTGTTCGTTTTAGGTTCCATCCATTCCGTCAATGTAAGCATTGCTGCTGCTGTGTTCAGCATGATGCCTATGTGTTATGGAGCTTTCCCTGTCTTAGAGATGGATTTGGGTCATTCCTTCCAGTAATCTTTTCCTTCAGTTTCTTTTCTCTTAAATAAAATTATGTTATCTGTAGGTAAAACATAATTTGGTTAAAGACCACCAGGAAGAACTAAATAAAGCTGAGGAGAAGATTCAGCTAATGAAACGAGAACTTAAAGAAAAAGAAGCAGAATGGAAAGTTGCAAGCGAGGACCTAGAGAGAGAATCTGAGGAGAAGTTAACACTGATGCTCCTTGAACTGAGAGAAAAGGCTGAATCTGAAAAACAGTCGATAATAAACAAGTTTGAGCTTCGAGAAACTGAAATGAGGCTTCTTGAGGACCAGCAGGCAGCCCAGATCCTGGACCTGGAGCGGTCCCTGATGGAGCAACAGGGCCGCCTATGGCAGCTGGAACACGGGCTTGCTGGGGATGAGGTTCTGCCATTCAGCCCGGGTGACCAGGAGCCCCCTGAGGCCCAGGATGGGGAGCACGGCACGCTGTGCGTGAAGGAGGACTGCGCCCTCCAGCTGATGCTGGCCCGCAACAGGTGGGTGGCATTTCGGAGTTGGGGGCCTGGGGTGGAACCATTTGCATGGTTCCCATGTGAGGCCTGACCCCAAGACGCCAGCAAAGGGAAGGCAGGGGCCGGCCCGTGGCTAACTCGGGAGAGTGCGGTGCTGATAACACTAAGGCCACGGGTTTGGATCCCATGTAGGGATGGCTGGTTAGCTCACTGGGTGAGCATAGTGCTGAAAACACCAAGTCAAGGGTTAAGATCACCTTACTGGTCATCTTTTAAAAAAAAAAAAAGGGTGGAAGGCAGCCCCTGGGAGGATGTGCTGTTGGGTGGAAAGATCTGGAAGGGGTGGAGCAATGTGTGATGTACTGAGTTTTTACCCCAAAACCACAACAGGGCAGCTCCGTGTTCTGTCACAGAGACAGGGTGGCAGTAACCTCATCCAGATCCTCCTTTGGAGCCTGTGCTCCATGGGTAGACGTCAGCATGCATTCATGTCATGCCTTTTCTGTTGTTCTTTGCATGTTTTAAGTTTCAGTAGCAGAACTTGAATCCTCATTTTGTGAAGCATTATGTGCACAGTTTATCCACATAAGTATTTTTGTGTTTTTTAGACTTAAACAGAAAGTTTTTAAAAATAAACATCTTTTTCTGAAATATATACATACTTCCCTCAAGTTTCAAATAGATTTAGAATATGGTTGGGTTCTTTGCTCCTGTTGGTGCCGACCATTTCTGTGTCACCTCAGCCCCTGGGCTGTGTTGGCTGCAGGGTTGTGGGACTGTCAGGGACTTGTGGGACCTGCTGTTGGTGCTGCCCCTCCTCATTTGACTGCCCCAGCCTGGCCCCTCCCTAACCTCGTGGTGATGATGATGTGCAAGAGTTCTGCTCTGGGGTTAGAGAACTCATGTTAATATCCAGATCTACCTTGTCTGAGCTGGAGGAACACAGGCCACATGCTTAACCTCACGAGACCTTAGTGCCTTAACTTTACGGTAAAGGCTAGATCATCTGTGGAAAACACCGTTGTAGTGTCTGGTGGTTAGTGAACACATAAAAGTAGTCGTAGCCCTTGTTGTTTGTGTGAACTTAAAGCATGTCAGTAATGTGTCATGTGTGCCTACAGAGAATACTGCTCTTCCCGGTTCCTGATGGGATTCTGGTTCTTGCATTGGAATTGTCACACTGCAGCTGGCCCGTGGCTCACTTGGGAGAGTGTGGTGCTGATAACACCAAGGCTGTGGGTTCAGATCTCTATATAGGGATGGCTGGTTGGCTCACTTGGGAGAGCATGGTGCTGACAACACCAAGCCAAGGGTTAGAATCCCCTTACCGGTCATCTTTTTCTTTTTTGGCGGTGGGGGCGGGGGGGAAGAATTGTCCCACTGGCTGTCTGGCTCCTGCCACCCAGCACCACCTGCAGATCTCTAATGCCAGATGTGGAGTTCTTCTCAGGGCCTGTGGCTACTGTGTGGTCCTGTGGGCTTCTGTAGGTGATGTCCCTTCCCTGTCAAGGTGCAGAGGTTGCATTTGGGTTCTTTCACTTAGGGCTGGTCTGGACATCCTGTCATGAGGGAACAGTCAAGCCCACACATGTGGCTTCTGCAGGGGTGTGGATGTGGCCCCTTGCTGTAGATGACATGCCCTTGCAGTGTGGCCCCTTCACTCTCCTGCTTGTTTCTGGTGGTGGCAATCTCAGACCATGGCAGAGGGAGGAGGAGGAAGAGTGGTTAAAATCTGGGTGTTTCCTGTAGGAAGTGCAGCTCGGTGTCACAGACTGAGGGTCAGCACTTTGACTGCATGCTTTGCTGTCATTCACTTTGTTGCCTCAGGTTTTTAGAAGAACGTAAAGAGATCACAGAGAGATTCAACGTGGAGCAAGATGCTTTCCTGCGGGAGGCCCAGGAGAAGCATGCCGGAGAGCTCCAGCTCCTGCAGGAGAGGCACCAGAAGCAGCTTCTGTCTCTGACGACGGAGCTCGAGACCAGACACCAGACTGAGCTTAGCAAGCTGGCGGCTTCCCTGGAGCGGGAAAGCTGGGCCCTCCTGGAAGCCCGCGTGGCCGAACTGCAGGCAAAACACACTGCTGATGTCAGTGCTCTGGAGGCTAGACACTTGTCAAACCTGGATTCTCTGGAATCCTGTTACCTGTCTGAGGTTCAGACTGTGCGGGATGAGCACAGGCGGGCGCTTGAGCTGCTGCGTGCAGACTTCCAGGAGCAGCTGCAGGAGAAGGATCGGTCTCATCAAACCACACTGGCTCAGGAGTTGGAGAGACTTCAGCTGAAACATGATGAAGAGCTTCAGTCCACAAAGGAGAGCCTGAGAACTGAAATGAGTGCTAGACATGTTGAAAGTCTGAAAGCCCTGGCCATCAAGTTGCAGGGTGCTCACCAGGTAAGGTGCGGGGGGCCACGCCGAGGCCCAGGTCAGGCTTCTCCCTGTGGCTGCCTGCTTCACCTGCACATTGTGTGTGCATGTGTGTGGGGGTGCAGCACCTATGGGTGCTCTCTCTGCAGGAGGAGCTGGCTGCAGCTCTGCATGATCAGCGGCGCCTGTTGGAGGAGGAGAGGATCGTGGCCCTGGACAGAGTAGATGCTGAGGTCTTGCTCTTGGAGCACCAGCATCAAGCAGCCTTGCCGGTGCTTGGAGATGTGCACACAGCTGAGATGCAAAAGCAGCAGGCAGAGCATGCCAAGCTCCGGGAGCTGGAGGCACCGCTGGAGGAGGCTGCACAGGTGAGCAGTTCCTGCAGCGGGGCTTTCTGGAATTGCTGGGCTGTGGGTGCTCTGGGGTTGTGCTCAGCTTCATGGGGAGCAGAGTGTGAAAGTGCCTGGTCCAGTGAGACAAATCCAGGAGCAGGTGCCTGTGTGTGACGTGCCTGTAGCTGGCCCACTCTGCTGGGCCCTGACCTTACTTTGCGGGCAGCGGGTGGTCCATGGAGCCGTGCACCCAGATCTGTTCTAAAGGCCATTTGGCAGCTGGACACTGATGGGATTGAGTCGACTGTGCGGGTCTAGGCAAGAGTTGACCAAAGCCCACAGGAGGCATGGCACTCAGCAGGCAGGTGGTGAGAGGAGGGGTGTGGAGAGCCTGGGGCGGGGGTGACAGGGAGGCTGCAGTTGAGGTGGATGCGCTGTCACTACGACACAGACCAGGATGGACGGGGTGGCTTGGTAGGTGTTTGTGACTTGTGTTGCTCTTAGAAATCTGCTCACAGGCTCACGGTATTTTTTTTTTCCTAAAATTTTAAAACCTGTATGTCAGAATCTATATAAGCGTTTATGTCAAACTCTGTAGTGATTCTTGTGATGAAGTCTAAAGGAGCAGTTGGAATCCCTCTTCCTAAAATTTTAAAACCTGTATGTCAGAATCTATATAAGCATTTATGTCAAACTCTGTAGTGATTCTTGTGATGAAGTCTAAAGGAGCAGTTGGAATCCCTCTTGGAGGAGGGAGGCTGCTGGGGAGGGGCCTGGCCAGGGTCCCTGTGTCTCGTTGTGGGCCCTTGTCCCTATTTCCTTTGCATCTGAGCAAGACGGCCCTCAGCCATCAGGGGTCTCCCTGTGGCAGATGGCATGTACACCAACCCCACCGAGGTGTCACCACCCCACCTGCTGACTACAGACAAATTGCATGTGTATGCACACACGGACATGTGTGCACACATGTAATTCTACATACCGTCCTCGCAGTCGGGAGAAGCCCCTTTAGTCTGTCTGAGGACCCGAGGACCCTGCCTGACACCACTGAAGCCCTCCTGCTTTGGTGTCTTTTGGTCTGAGAGACTCGTATCTTCTGATCTCTTTGTGGTGGGATGACAAGAGTCTGTGTGTGTAGTGCTTCACAGATAATTGATATTTTATTTGGAGCGTTGCGGGCAAATTTATTGAGATGATTAATTTTGTAAATACTATTTCTAGGGGTCTTTTTAAACAAGGACATACTGACATCTCATTTCCAACCATAAAATGAGGCCCTTGCATTCACCTAAGTTTGCTAGAGTAATAGTTACTGCTCTTAGCTGTGTGTGGAATATTGACTGTTTCTGAAATTAGTATTTCTTCACATGTAAGTTCCCAGAATGAGAATTAGAGGAGATAATGAAAATAAAGGGAAGTGTAAATGTGAGATTTCTCCACCTTTGTTTGTTTAAAGGTCTGGCTTTTTTCTTGAGATTTGTTCCTTTGTCTCATCAGCACCCATGAGGGTCATGGGGCTACCAGGAAGATGCCTACACAAGTGAGGGGCCATTAGAGCCTGTGTTCCAGCACCATTGCAGGCCACAGGCAGTCCACATGCTGGACCCATGAAAACCCCTTGCGAAGGTCGGCCCTCTTCTCCACTTGTCTGAGAGGCTGGAATTTACCTTTGGGGTAGACACGTGCAGCTCTGCTGTGCTGTGGGATTCGTAGGAGCAGTTCTGGGTGGTTGTTGGTCCCTGAGTGTGGACACCTTCCCCTGCTGTCCCGAGGCGTTGCCCTGAGACCTGCTGGTGGGATGAGGGTGTCCGTGTGTAATTCTGTCTTCTCTGGAAAAAGCAGATTCTGTCCTCTGCCTTTTCCAAGGACTTATGCTCAAGAAATTCTGTAGAGTCTCTGATATGATTCTATTGCCTGTTTTATCTTTAATACAAAGAGCTACATGCTTTTTCGAAACCACGTGTTATTTATTTTCTTTGACTCAGCACTTCTGTTCTTCTGTGGTGCCTATTATCTGAATGCTCATGGGGCATCTTTGAAGTATTTTTCTAGTTGTGGTATAGGCTTGCTCGGGTAATTTATCCATTTACTTTGCTACCAAGGATGTGAATACCTTTTCCATGATCATTTTTGTCTAGCTATTTCACAGAAAAAAAAGACAACTGGGCTGTGAGGAAGTGGGATATGCTGTTTCATTTTATTTATGTTAACTTTTTGTTGGGGAAAATTTCGGCATCTACAGAACTAGAGTAATTCAGTAAGCCCCCTCATCCCACTACCTAGTGGGGTACACACCAATCTCAGTGTTTGAACCCCCTCCAATTATTCTGAAGCAAATCCCAAACACCATGCGTTTTCATCTAGAAATGGTTAAGGATATGTAAGTAAGGTCTTTTCTCCCTGATAAAACATGACCACAATTCATTATAACGTAAAAAATTAACACTAATTCCTTCATTTCATCACGCATCCAGTCTACGTTCCAGTCTCTTCCTGTCTGTGGCTGTTCAAACCAGGATCCACACAGGGCCTTGTTTGCACTAGGTCTTTTTAAATTTTTTTCCCGTGATGTCGATTAACATTCCCCTCGTTCCGTCTGCATGCTGGCAGATCTACAGGCAGGTCAGACTCAGTCCCATGCTTGGAGACAGCACTTCTGAGGTGGTGGCGCGTTCCTCCTGTGTCTTCCCTCAGGTTTCATCCCCTCAGGTTTCATCCTGCAAACAGACCTACATAAAGCCTTGCTGGACATTTCCTGGGATGCTAGAGTCATTGTCCTAAAATAGCAGGGACATGCTGTTCTTCCAGGGCCACATATATCTTTGCACCTGTTTGAAAAGCCGTCACTTACCAGCAGGGTGATTGGATGTGCACTTTTGAGGTGGTTGGATTATTTTCCAGGTTACTACCTTTTGGAGTTTGGTTGTGAGAAAAATTCTCTGAAAACGCAAACTTGATTTCCTTTTGATAGAAATATGTATCCCATGGAGAGATTTCCCCATGTTGATAACACTAAGCAAAGTTCTAGAATGCAGTAGTAAACCGTAGTATGCCTTTTCTTGGGTATTGATTTTATTTTTCATTTTCCTTATGTCCTTCAAAATGGGCGAAAGTATTTTCTGTGGGTCCACATCGGGGCAGGAAATATGAACTCTGGGGCTTTGGCTGCTGTCTCTTGGCCTAGGTCCTGCCAGTCTATGGTGCTGGTTGGCATTTGGGGTTTTGTTCTTAAATTCACCCAGCAATTTGTGGTTGGCACATACAGAGCCAGATCCCTGTCAAACCCTCTTACTCTTCAGCTTCCTTCTTGGTTGCAAACGGTCCTCATCAACCCTGTCCTTCCTTTAGGATGTGGGGGGTATAAATGGGATAATTGAAGCACTTTGGAAACTTCGTAGCAAGTCACAACTTGGAAGTTGCTGTTGAGTTTTTCCTTTTTTTTTTGTCTTTTTCCGTGTCCGGCAATGGTTCACAACCCTCAGTGTTGCCCCCATACCGGACCGGGACCGGCAACGGGATCGCAACCCTCGGTGTTGGCCCCGCGCCTCGCTCAGCCAGTGAGCGGGAACCGGTCTGTATGTGGGATCCGAACCCTCGACGGGAGCGCTGCCGCACTCCCAAGTGGCGCACTAGCGCAGTGCGCCACCGGGCCGGCCCCGAGTTTTTCCTTTTAAAGGAATAGAATTAATCTGTTTCAGGAGAGAAAGTTCATGAAAGTGATCTGTATTAATTTTAAAATGGTCTCTAGAACTTGGAAGTGTGATTATAGTGTTGTGGCCTGTGAGCCTGTATTCTGATTATCATGACTAAGGTGAAAGTCCAGAGCCCACGTGGCACCTTGAGCAAATTCCAAACAGATTGATTAGACGTTCTTTATAAATTCCTCTATATGTTTTATCACACTGAAAATGCACAGAGTAAAGGTAGTTTCTGTGTCAAAAATGTTCATGAATCTACTGAAGCTGTTCTACAAGTAACTTTAGGAAAGGTTGCTCAGGGTTGACTGTCTTTCTCCTCATGAGGAGGGAGCACAGCCCCCTGCTGTGCCGGCTGAGTGGGAGGAAGAGCCGGGAGTAGCCGCTGCATCCACGGGTGTCCCCTTCCACCTGCAGAGTGACTCTCAGTTCATTTTTACATGCAGAGTTACAACACAAAATAGTATCATTGTTTTGGAAACTGAACTTCTTCCAGGCAACTATTGTCCTGCATTTTTGTGTTGATTGTCTGTGTAGCATACCTTTTTTGCCAAGAAATAAAACTGTCATCAGATATCTTGGATCTAAGAAAAATTTGTCTTTCACTTGTCGGTTTCTTGCAGTGATGTGCCTGTTTTCATGGAAGGGACATCTGCAGGACAAGTGGGTACTTGTGCCTTTTCTCTTGAACAGTGTCCATTCAGTGGTTTTTGGTACATTCACAGAGTTGTGCAGCTATCACTGCTGTCACCTCAAGAAGAAATCCCTCACCCATTAGCAGTCACTCCCCATTCTGTGACTCCCCCTGCCCCAGGCCCTGGAAACCTCTAATCTGCTCTCCGTTTCTGTGGATTTTCCACTTCTGGACATTTTATATAAATGGAATCATGTAACATATGTCCTTTTGTGTCTGCCTCCTCTCACTTAGCATGGTTCTTAAGTTCACAATTGTTGTAGCATGTATCAGTACTCAATTATTTGTTTTCTGTATATCTCATTTCTGTCTTGTTCCTGTGTTCCTTCATTACTGCCTTTTCATTTTAATTTCCTTCATGTTTATTTTACAACATGTTTTTGAGTTATTTTTTTAGTGCTTGGCCCAGTGATTACAGTGAACATTTATAGCAATCTAGTTTGGATTAATACCAACTTAATTGTAATAGTTTACAAAACTATTTGCCTGTATAGTTTCATTCCCTCCTCCCTCCTTTGTGCTAATATTCTACCAAGTATACCTCTTTATACATTTTATGCTCGTTGCTTTCTGCAGTTGTCTTTTAAATCAGAGAGGAGAAAAAAGAGTTACAAAGAGAAACTACATTTATTTTGTCTTGCATCTGTGCCTGTGCAGTTACCTTTAGTGTTGTTCTTTATTTCTTCCTGTGGGTTCAAGTTTCTGTCTGGTGTCCTTTCATTTCAGCCTGCAGGTCTCACTTCAGTATTTCTTGTAGGACAGGTCTGCTTGTGATGAATTCGCTCAGTTTTTGTTTTTCTCAGAACGTCTTAATTTCTCCTTTATTTTATTTATTTATTTATTTATTGTCTTTTGTCTTTTTCCGTGTCTGGCAACGGATCACAACCCTCAGTGTTGCCCCCACACCAGACTGGGGACCGGCAATGGGATCGCAACCCTCGGTGTTGCTCCCGCGCCTCGCTCAGCCAGTGAGCGGGAACCGGTCTGTATGTGGGATCCGAACCCTCGGGCGGGAGCGCCGCCGCGCTTCCCAAGCGGTGCACTCATCCAGTGCGCCACCGGGCTGGCCCAATTTCTCCTTTATTTTTGAAAGCTAGTTTCCTGGATATAGAATTCTTGGTTGGCCGTCTTTTTCTTTCAGCAGTTTAAATATCCCCCCCACTCCCACCCCCAAGGTCCATTGGCCTCTGGCTTCTGGTGAGAGTCAGCCATAATCCTACTGAAGACGACTCATGGGTCGCTGCTCTTGCTGCTTTAAGATTCTCTGTCTGTCTTTCAGAAGTTTCATTATGATATGTCTAGGGGTGGATCTCTTTGAGTTTATCCTATTTGGAGTTTGCTGAGCTTCTTGTATGTGTAGATTAATGTTCTTCATCCAATTTGGGAAGTTTTTGGCCATTATAACTTTAACTATTCTTTCTGTCCTTTTCCCTCTCTACACTCCTTCTGGGACTCTCATTATGTGTATATTCATCTGCTTGAGGGTTTCTCACAGGCTTTTGAGGCTCTAGTTATTTTTCTTTATTCCTTTTTCTTTCTGTTCTTTAGACTGAATAGTCTCAGTTGACCTATCTTCATGTTTGCTAGTTCTTTCTTCTGCCTGCTCAAATCTGCTATTGAGCCCCTCTAATGAAATTTTCATTTCAGTAATTGTACTTTTCAGCTCTTGAGTGTCTATTTAATTCTATTTTATAATTTTTATCTCTTTATTGAGGGGCTCTGTGTGTGTGTTGGGCATGCCTCTAGTGCTCTGGCTGTCAGTTCACTGCTCTGCCTGGGCCTTCCATTCCTGCTCATGCAGCACTCAAGGTGAGCCAGAGGGGAGGGCGTATAGCCTCTCTGATCTTTCTGGACACGTGCACATCCCTGCACATGTGTGTGCCTCTAGATTCCCAGAATATGTTGGAGCTTTTCAAAGCCCCCTGTGGACATCTCTTTCTCTAGTATTTCCTCTTAAGTTTTTTGGTCAGCTTCTTATTAGTCCAGCTGGTATGGCCGCCTCAGGTAGCTGTGATATTAAACAGTTGCCATGGATTGTTTTTGACAAACGACTTGGGGATGGGATTGTTGACACAGAGTGTGCTCTGACTTGGGCCACCTGAAGACCAACCATGAGGATGGGGCTTTCCTGGGAGCTGACAGCCAGGTTAGTTAGTGGCAGCTGGTGGAATGGCTTTTGGGGTGTTCCCAATCCATTCTGTCCTCCCACTCCACCCCAGTGGCTACTGGTTTTCAAGGCTGTTGCAGAGAATGGAGAGGAGGGATGAGATTAGGGTAAATCAAATGCCCCAAAGCTTGTTCTGATGGAGACTTGCCTTGGTTTTCCATAAACACTCTGTGGTTTGTTCTAAGCCTTTCTTAATTTCCACAGCTCTGAAAAAGTTGATTTTGATAGTTTTTACCACTGTTGGTCGTGTTTTGGAGGTTCTAACTTTGTTTTTATAGAAGTGCTACCTCTGTAGTTTTTTTTTCAAAACTAAGCTTATTTTATGAATGTAAGTTAATTCATCTAGGTGAACTTAAAACATTTTTTATTATTTAGGAAGAAAGAGTGTTTATCTTTAAAATCAAAGGAACGCAAATCTCTAAATGTCTTGAATTTTCATGGCTATAATCCTCTCATGATGGTGAATTTCTTAACGTGCCCATTTAAGATGGCCATATACCAGGACACTTGGGAATGGCAGCAAGATATTGTTCATCAGACGAAGCTGTCCCCGGTGCAAACGTCTGCCCTCCTTAGTGTGTGGTCCCTGAAACTAGGATTTCTTTCATGTTTTCTAGGATGAGCCCACTTTGTTGGACATTTGCTATTATTAGCGGCCTTGGTCTGTCTCATCCCTGCTTTTATGCAGAGTAGTGTCTTGATAAATATTGCTGAGCGTCCTCAGTTCTAGTGAAGAGCAGAGAAATGGAATAAGCACGATCTTCTGGCTTCGAGGTTTTTTCGTTGTTATCAATGTACTTTTGTGCAGGGTGAATTTGAAAGGGAAAAGAAAGCTGCTTTGCTTGAAGAAGAGAGGATTCGTAGACCTGGGGGTGAGCAGGTCCAGGCTCTCCACCAGCAGGATGAGGCCTTGTCTCTGCAGCTTCAGCAGAGGGACCGCCAAATTCAGCAGGTCTGTGGAAGGTGCCTTTTCCTCGTCATTGCCTTGTTGCTTTTGTTTTTGGTGATAAAATATGTATGGTTGTCCCTCGGTATCCTTGAGGAATAGTGTACAGGACCCCACGCAGATGCCAAAATTCACAGGTGCTGAAGTTCCATGTATGAAATGGTGTAGTATTTGCATGTAACTTGCATGCATCCTCCTGTGTACTTTAAGTCATCTCCAGATTGCTTGTGATACGTAATGCAGTGCCCAGCACATGCCTGAGACCCCATAGCTGTTGACTCGTGTCATTTATAGAGAGGAATATGTGAGAAGGATCTAATTTTTATTGTGAGCAGATACAGGGGTTTTATTCTGAATCATTTGGGAGGTGAATCTCTGATGAATCTGCCCCTTCCCTCCCCTGGCAGCAGGGGCAGGCTGGGGTGGTTGTTATTTCCTTTTTTTGTAAGAGACTAATAATGTTGGAAAGCTGTATTAGTAATTCTCACGTTTAGTCACCACTTTGTTCATCTTTTTGCCGTATGTTTATTAATTGTAATCATGAAAATTATGATGAAAGTTTCTTACAGCCATTTATTTTTAATTAAGTTGTTTTATCAAAGCTTTAACAATTTTTCCCAATAGCTGAAAGAGCAAGTTCTGTCTCTAAGTCATGAGATAGAAGCTTGCCGTTGTGAGCTGGAGACACTGCAGCAAAGGCGCGAGAGGGAAAACCAGGAAGGTGCAAACCTTGTCTCCATGCTGAAGGCTGATGCCGACCTGTGCAGCAGTGAAAGGTCAGTGTGTCCTTGTCACTGAGGTGATGGCTCTGCTGCCATCGCCACCACCTGGATGTCCTTGCCCCACTGTCTGTACGCACCACCCTTGGCAGGCTGTGGGCGTCCACTGGGGTGTGTGGGTACCATTCATATCTGGCCCTCCTGTTCCTTGTGCTTGTTATGGAGTCACTAGGAATGTTGATCTGATAGAGGCCCTGGGCCATGTTATTCTTCTCACTTATAGATTTTAAACACCAAGAAAAATGCTCAGTGATACAACAAACATCTGTGTACCTACCACTTCGCTTTGCCAAATCGTCACATTTTGCCAAATCACAAAAAAACCCCTAATTTCTCCCCTTGAAACCCCACAGTGCCCCCCACAATCCCATTCCCCCCACCAAAGGCCCATCTCTTTCCTCTCTGTTGTCGGGTGTCCCCACAGTGTGTCCTCCCCCACAGGGCTCGGGCGCAGGTTCACAGGTGACCTAACGTGTTCTCAGGGCTTGGGTTTCACTCATGTTCTGTGTACACATCCCCGTGGCCTTGTTCCTGGCCCTCCGCAGCGTGGCAGCCATCGCCCAGGCCCTTTGTTCTGCTGTGGAGCCTTCAGTACGTGGCTGTTGCAGCCTTCCCTCGGGGTTGCGTATGTCCTGGGCACACCACACATGTTGGGGTTCATCTGTGAGTGGGAGTTGCAGGTCTAGGGCCGAACATCTGACGTCCATGGGCACTCCAAGGCTGGTGTGTGCATTTGAACACTCTCCGTGAGGGCTGCGGGTCTCTCCACTGTAAGCTGCATGTGGGTCCAGGCCTGTGTTTCTGCTGGGGGTCTTGTGTATCCTGGGCTGGCCCTGTGGTCACATGCTTGTCCCCCAGCCTGGGTATGTCCCCCTGTAAGATTGATTCTGTCCTGCGGGCCCAACTGTTCCTGTGTCTATTTGTTTGGAGGTCTTATTTAAGAAAGTCTCCTACTCTGACGCCATACGTTTTCTTCCATATGTCATCTCAGAGGTTTACAGTTTTGCTTTCTGTATAAGTCTAGAGCGCACCTGGAACTCTTCCATTGTTTGTTTATTTGCTTCTGATGCCAGGACATTGTCTTGTTCTTACCTGTCTGAACACTTTGCTCAGTGCTATACTGGAAAGTGCAGCCCCCCCCCCCGGGATGTGTGTCTTCTGTAGGTCTGCACGGGCTCCCCTCTAGTGGGGTTTCTGGGGCAGGCCACTTCTGCTGCATCAGTCAGCTTCTCTCTGCTCCCATGTCTCCTGCTCTGGTGTGCTCTGTACTGAAGTCTTAGGCCTGGCCCTGGTCCTCAGCTTCACTTTCTTGTGTGTACAGCCATTGAGGGTCATGAGAAACTAGGTCCAGCTCATGGGACTCACCAAATCTCCAGCTTAAATTAGTAGAGAACGGACGTCTTTATTACCCTGAGGTTCCCTGTGTTTGTACACAGCAACTCTGTTTAGGGCTCTTTTCATTCCTTCCATGAAGATTTGAGATTTCTCCCTGAAAGCCTTATGCATTTCCTAGCACTTACCTGTTGGCGCCTTGTGACTTGATGCTGTTCTCCTGAGTCGCCCCAGTTGCTGCGGGGGACTGATGCTTTGTGTTTGGGTGGAAAGCCAAGGAGATCCAGTGGTCCCAGGTATTTGGGGAGGCCTGGCCGAGGGAGTGGCAGCTTCAGACTCCCTGACACCTGCAAGTGTTTGGCATTTTGGGATCAGCATGGAGGCCTGTTTGGCAGCTTGAGAAGAAGAGATGTGGTCGGGGGCCGGAGACATCTTCTGGGTCAGGCCGCCCCCAGATATTTGCTGAGATGTCTGTTGCCTACTCAGCAGTCTTCCTTATACTTCCTGCTGTGCCCACCTTGCAGTCCCCATACTTTGCCCTTGTCAGTCTGCCCCTTACCTAGAATGGCCGGAGACATCTTCTGGGTCAGGCCGCCCCCAGATATTTGCTGAGATGTCTGTTGCCTACTCAGCAGTCTTCCTTATACTTCTTGCTGTGCCCACCTTGCAGTCCCCATACTTTGCCCTTGTCAGTCTGCCCCTTACCTAGAATGTTAACTCCGGATGTGAGTGGCATCGGAGGGGTGAGGGGAGGGAGGGTAGGTGGGCCGTGTCTGCTGCAGGGCTGGATGGATGGGGTGCCCTCCTCAGTGGAGTTGCTGTGCCCACAGACATACAATCATAGTGGGAAGGGTTGCTCTGAAAGGACAGCAGCTCAAAGAGCAAGGTGTAGGGTAACTTTTGATCTGATGAGTCCCTTTTTTGTAAAGGTGGAAAACATCCCAAACTGTGCATGTTCGTGACTTCAGAGCCATGGGAGACACACGCCTTCCTGCCCACGGGCTGCTCCACGGGACAGACTGAGTTTTCATATAAGCATGTGGAGTTAGTTGTGACTTTGGGTTTTTGGACAAGTATCTCATGAATCAGCAGATTTGAACATCCCGTGTTCCAAGAGGGGAGGAATGAGACAGAAGGTTCCAGGTGCAGCCGGCGTGTACTGGCTCCAGGTGCTGGCCAGATGAGCACGCTCAAGTCACAATATGGCCTCTTTTAAAGATCAAAAACAACAGCAAACAGATCTGCATACCTTCCCGAAAGCCACATTGCTGGAGCTCAGCTTCCTGAGCTCACACAGGGTTGAGAACCAGCATCTTCTGGCCCCAGTGGACAGGCGTCTTCATGTGCAAAGGCAGGCGCTCTTGTGTCTCTCAGTAGCACAGGTGGCTGGCAGCATCTTACCAAGTGTCCAGGGTGGGGGTTTCATGGCCACGACCTATGGGTGCGTGACTGGTGTTTCCTGTCTTAGGAGAGCTCTGCGGGATGCCCTGAGGAGGTTGTTGGGTTTGTTTGGAGAGACCTTGAAGGCAGCTGTCACCCTGAAGAGCCGGATCAATGAGCGCATGGGTCTTTGCCTGGATGATGCAGGCACTGCAGGTGCAGGCCAGGCTCTGCTGGCAGGTGAGTGTCTGTAGCTCCCTCCTGTGGGGCTGGGTGCTGGGGGGAACACTGCCTTCCTCATTCCCTGCCAATGCCTGCACCTAGAGAAGGCTGAGGACTGGATTCAGTAGAATTGCCTGGTTCCTGCAGGCGCGTTGCTGCGTTTACTTAGGAAACACTCTTCCTTCTCAAAGTGGATTGTCCGTTAATGTAGGTTTGCTTGTTGCTGTGAATGCCGTTTGTTGGGGTCAACTCATCTACCACACGGGGGCAGCACATGTCTTTGATCATTTCATAGCTCCAGCACTTGACGAGACGTGGTCTGATGGGACCCTGCTGGATGTGGACAGAACTTTGCCTGAGTGTGTGGAGACGTCGTCAGTGACTGAAATCAGCAGTCATCTGTGTGAAAGCTTTTTTATGAGCCCAGAAAGTACACTGGAATGCGAGCAGCCAATTAGGAGGGTATACCAGAGCCTTGGCATTGCAGTGGATGGCCTCCTGGAGGTGGCCCTGGACTCCACCAGGCAGGTGAGGGTTGACAGATGACCGCCTAACCTGTGCTTGGTGGGCGATGAAATGGTAGGTGCTCTGCAGGGCACATGCATGTGGTCTCCGTCCTCAGTCTCGCCCTGTGGCCTGAGCCAGGTGTGTTCACATTTCAGGCAGATCTGACTTCCAGGTGCTCTTCCTCCTCCTCTGCAGGGCATTGGGGGAGCTTAGGCACCTGTCCTTCACACCGATTCTGATCTGCCACCACCGGTGTCCTCAGACAGGCTTTTTCTTAAGCAGGGGTCCTTCTCAACACATGGCCTGTTGTAAGGGACTAGCACAGTCTCTGTGTGTTTGATTTGTGTGGTACATGGACCCGCTGCTTTTACTTCACACGCAGCCATGGTTCCCGTCAATATGTAGTGATCATTGCTGAGAAAGGGAGTTATTTTTGCTAACCCTTTTAGAACATTTTAGACAATTAAAAAGATGTTAAATAGGAATACATGGAAAACAATAAAGGGACCCTTCTTTTCAAAGTCAGCCCAGTTAAAAAATAAGCGTTTTTTCATGAAGCCTTGCCTTCAGTACTCAGAAACCCGAGTGAACTTGCACTCTTTGAGTAGTGCTGTTGGAGTGGGTTTTCCCTCCTGATTTCCTTCCTCTGCACTTTCTTCACCCCATTTTTCGCTCCTCACCCTCCTGTCTTCTCTCAAGGAGTGGACACATTTAGGCAGCATCTGATAAGTAATCAGGTGTTTTTGGTTGTCTCCCAGATGAAATTAAACTGAAACACTCTCCTGTGAGCATCTGTGTCCACTGTTCTAACCTGGCCCTGTGCCCCGTGGTGGGGACGCCTGAGCTGCACATGGGGGCTGTCAGGCCTGTGCTCACCTCCTTAAATATCCTGTCCCCACAGAGGGTGGGTTGTATGGGGAGGAATATGGGAGGTGCTGGGAGAGAAATCAGGGTGGGTTGTAGGGAAGGTTGGAGGCAACCAGGGCACAGCCCTATGGGAGGCTCAGGCAGGGGAGCCGTCAGAGTTGGCATGGGGACAGCAGGTTGGAGATGCAGAGCCGGGTTAGGATCAGATAGAGCCACCTTGCAGGGCCTTGTTGTGCTTGTGGGTAGGAAAGGGGCAGGTGTTCTGAGAGGATCAGGCAGGGGAGCCGTCAGAGTTGGCATGGGGACAGCAGGTTGGAGATGCAGAGCCGGGTTAGGATCAGATGGAGCCACCTTGCAGGGCCTTGTTGTGCTTGTGGGTAGGAAAGGGGCAGGTGTTCTGAGAGGACAGAACTGGAGGAGGGACTCATGGGCAGGTGGGGGGCTAAAGGGGTCGATTTCAAAGAGGAACCAACAGATTTCCTTAGAGGCCAGGTGTGGACATCTGGAGCCCCAGAAAAGGCCAAAGTTGCTCTAACTGATGGGGTGCAGAAGGAGGCCTGGTGCTGAGTGTCTGCAAAGACAGCTAGGTGCAGGAATTTTGAATTCAGAGGCACACTTGCCCAGGGAGTGCTGGGAGTAAGAGGGGAGAGGGGACCGGGGCAGAGAAGGCCGCAAAAGACACTGAGGAGGGGCCTTGCTGGGGACTGTGCCCCTCATTGGGGAGGGCAGCTTCCACCTGCCTGGTCTGTCTCCTGCACTGGCCCTGCCTGTGGGGCAACAGCCTCGGGGCCTGGGGCAGAAGTAGAATTCTGTTGGTGTTGAGTAAGCTTGGTTCGTTTTTGATACATGCTTCTGGTTTTCAAATGTGTTTGAACAGCTGGAGGAAGCACGTCAACTTCATTCTCATTTTGAAAAAGAGTTTATTTGTAAAAACAAGGAGACGGCACAGGTCGTTAAGAAGCACGAGGAGTTATTGGAATGCTTGAAGGAGGAGAGTGCAGTGAAGGCAAAACTGGCATTGGAGCTGCACAAGGCGGAGGGTGAGCCGGCTTGGCGCGGTAGCGGGTGGCAGACACGCCATGCCACGGGAAGGGTCAGGGTGGGGATCTTAAAAGCAAATGTGAGGGCTGGCCCGGTGGCGCACTGCTGTAGTGCGCCACTTGGGAAGCGCAGCGGCGCTCCCG